CTGGTAGTTTCGAACTGCTGACCTTGTGGCTCACAGCCCGATTCGTAACCACTATGCTACCAGAGCTTATATATAGATTGTAGGTATATGTGTGTATATATATATATACACATATACCTACAATAATGCAACATTTAATGCCCATGTTCTGTGAAACAGGATGTTATGTGATTTGCGCTTTGTGAGAACTCCATATTATATATAAACAGTCCCCAGATTATGAAGAAAATCCTGTCTTTATGTCAAATTTGTATGTAAATCAGAACAGTTAGGTATGGTTTATCTCTAACATGAGTCAAATGTTCTTCTTACTATATAATGTATAATGTACATTTCTATGCATAAGAAAGATTAAAGAAAAACTTTCAGATAGACTAAAGCATCTTTAGCATAACAATACAGTAATAATAATGATGTTCTGATGCACATCACAAAGTAGAGTCATTTGTATTATGAGTCATTGTATGTATGTACCTCTGATTTTTATTATAACAGGCTCTATGGTATGGGCACCATGAGCGTATATGCAAACAGATGTTGTCCTTATAGATGTCATCTGGTGCCCAACTACATATATATGCATAGATAAGTTCCTGGGTGGTACAGGTGTAAATGTCCAGCCACTAGCCAAAATAAAGTTCTAACCCACCCAGACCATGCCTTGAAGATACAGAGCAGTCTGCTCAGCACACATGGGGTCACCAGGAATTGTAATGAACTCAGTGACATCTAACAACAGATATGTTTACTATCATAAAAAATTAAAGAGTGAAGAAGGGTCATGTTCTATAATGGCTGCCTGTTACTATTTATGCAAAAAAGGAAACAGGAATAAAACCAAGACCTTGCCTTATAAGGTATTTCAACGTGGTGCAAGAATCAATTCAGGCAATGGGTAGTATAAAGGATTAGTGCGCTTGACTACTAGCTGAAAGTTTGAAAGAAGAAGTCCATCCAGAGATGCCTGCTTCCTCAAAATCAGCTACTGAAAACCTTGTGGAGGACAGTTCTACCCTGACACACATGGGGTTACCCTGA